CGTCTAGAGCCTAGTGGATCAACCTGTGATACAGCCTGGAATCGAACCAGGGTCTGTAGTGACGCCTCTAGCACTGAGATGCAGTGCCGGAGTGGCCAGGCGGAAGTCACTCCTCAGTAAAAGGCACGACAGCCCGCTTGGAGTTTGCCAAGAGGCACCTAAAGGACTCTGACCATGAGAAACAAGATTCTCTGGTCTGATGAAACCAAGATTGAACTCTTTGGCATGAATGCCAAGTGTCACGTCTGGAGGAAACTTGGCACCATCTCTATGGTGAAGCATGGTGGTGGCAGCATCATGCTGTGGGGATGTTTTTCAGCAGCAGGGACTGAGAGACTAGTCAGGATTGAGGTAAAGATGAACGGAGCAAATTGCCACCTATGCAGAGTACAGAGATATCCTCGATGACAACCTGCTCCAGAGCGCTCAGGACCTCAGACTGGGGCGAAGGTTCACCTTCCAACAGGACAACGCCAAGACAATGCAGGAGTGGCTTCGGGACAAGTCTCTGAATGTCCTTGAGTTGCCCAGCCAGAGCCCAGACTTCTCTGGAGAGACCTGAAAATAGTTGTGCAGCGATGCTCCCCATCCAACCTGACAGAGCTTGAGAGGATCTGCAGAGAAGAATGGGAGAAACTCCCCAAATACAGGTGTGCCAAGAAGACTCGAGGCTGTAATCACTGCCAAAGGTGCTTCAAGAATGTACTGAGTGAAGGGCCTGAATACTTATATTTCAGTGTTTTATTTTTAATACATTTGCTAAAATTTCAAAAAACCTGTTTTTGCTTTGTCATTATGGGGTATTGTGTGTAGATTGATGAGGGGGGAAAAAAACAATTTAATCAATTTTAGAATAAGGCTGTAATGTATAAAGTCAACGGGTCTGAATACTTTCTGAATGCACCGTATACCAACTAATCAATTTGTTATTACTACTATTGCAGTTAAACGTTCTGTGATAGTTTTTTTATGGTGTCAGGATGTTCCTCTCTTCTCTCAGGTGTCCCAATCAAGGCTATTCCCAGCGTGGTCGCTCTGATAGAGGACATCACCACAGAGAAATGCCGACAGGTAGGTACTTATGCTAAGGTCAGAGGTCAAATTAGTGACAGTGTGTTATTTGGCCATACAGGATGGTGTTTTAAATGGATACTACGAGATTCTGGCAATAATTAACTTGTATGTTTGATGTATGTAACTGCTGTTTTCGCCAGGCTCTGAGGAAGGCGCTCCAGACATGGAAGGTGGACGTGGTCCTAAACGACGGAGCTCCAAATGTTGGAGCCAACTGTGTGCATGATGCCTTCTCTCAGGGTATGTAACAGCACTGATAACACCTATATAAGCAAACTGAGAGAAAATAATCTTAATGCATACCAAATCATGTGTCTGTCCATCAGCTGTATCTTTATGTTCACTCATAACAAAATATGTACAGTAGAACTGTTTATTAGATCAGTGTAAAGTGCACAGTAGCCGAACACAATCTACATTTAATAAAAGAAACAGCAGATTGTCCATTTCAGTCTTACCTCAACACTACTACCCCTACCAGCTCACCTGACCCTGATGGCTCTGAAGCTGGCGTGTGACTTCCTGGCCAAAGGGGGCACGTCTGTCACCAAGGTGTTCCGCTCCAAAGACTACCAGCCGCTGCTGTGGATCTTCCAGCAGTTCTTCAAGAAGGTGCAGGCCACCAAGCCCCAGGCCTCCAGAAACGAGTCGGCTGAGATCTTCGTCATCTGCCAGGGTGGGTTGGTTCGCCTCGACTCTATTCAGCAGAGTTGAAAAAGTATTTTCTATTTATTCTAAATTCAAATACCATTCACTTCCTGAATTAACTGAATATGCCCCAAACCTGCTCCTTAGCACCAGTTATCTAGTGTAAATTGGGAAATATATACTGGGTTTATTGTGGTAAGGGCTGGTCTTGTTGAGTAACTGAGGACAGGACTTCTTTCCATTTCAGGTTAACTGGCCCCAGACAAAATAGACAAGTTCTTCGACCCCAAACATGCTTTCAAAGAGGTGGAGGTCCAAGCCAAGGCTATCAAAGACCTGGTGCATGTGAAGAAACCCAAAGTGTGTGTTTGCGTGTGTGTGTGTACTTGTCTGTAAAAGGCTTGTGACTGAACTGACTGTATATTTCAGTGGCTTCATTCATGTTGCTGTGTTTCAGGCGGAGGGATACACAGACGGTGATCTGACCCTGTACCACACATTCTCTACGACTGCCTTCCTCAAGGCTGACAACCCTGTGGACTTCATGAGCAAAGCCAACGAGGTGAGACACACAACATACTGTACATAGCTTTGCCATGGCAGTTAGCATGGAAAGCAAGTTAGTAGTAAGTTAGTTTTCTAGCTAGCTTAACAACATTTTGCTGTAGCATATCTCTCTCTGAACAGACTCTAATATTGTCTTTATTGGGGTGTCCCTCCAGATCACCTTTGATAACACTGAGTTGGAGTCTCACGAAGCCACCTCTGACGAGGTCAAAGAGTGTTGCTGTGACATCAAGGTTCTGGGCCGCAAGGAGCTCCGGTAAGCCAATGAGAACGCTGTACTATAATAGTAACAATACACTAACTTTATAAAGCGTTTTCTATAGACCCAAATATGTACTGCAACTCAAGTTGTGGAGCCCCCCCTCTCCTCTTGGGCTCTCGTATGACCATTGCCCCCTGACTCTGTGTGTGTGTGTGTGTGTGTGTGTGTGTGTGTCCAGCATGCTGCTGATCTGGAGGTCCAAGCGGAGGAGATACCTGGCCAAGAAGCTGAAGGACTAGGCCAAGCAACTGGACCAGGACATCAAATAAGAATCCGTTTGAACATTTCTTCATCTTCACATCTACAGCAAGTTCTATTGAGATAGACTCCCAGACCAAATTCAACCCCTAAAGCCCCTGGTAGATCAGATACAGGTAGGTGGGTACAGAATGGAATTGTATGTATGGCTCCACCTAGTCCTCTGTTTCCTCCATATTGTTTACACCTGTCCAGTCTTAAAATATATGAGTGTATCATGAATTGCCTATCTAGGGGTTGGGGCTGATTTTGGTGGACAAGATAATCTCTTTTACAAGGGTATGAGGTATTTGTCAGGTTCTAAATTAATATCCTTTGAAGCTGCACAGCCCATTATAAAGAACAGTAGACTTCAACAACATTGGCCTTTAGTGTTGTGGTTGTCTGCAGACTAAGTTCAGGTGAGGAGGCGAGCGACGCAGAGAAGAAAGAGGAGAAGAAGGAGAAAACGAAAATGAAAGTGGCTGAAAAGAAGGAAGAAGAGGCAGAGTTGGAGGAGGTAGAGATGGAGCAGAAACTGGCCGAGCTGAACGCGGAGGAGGTGGCAGAGCTAAGACGTTAAGTCTTTATACTCTCATTGCTCACCTACTTGGTCTCCAATGTACCGGTATATACCAACAATGGTATTTTATGGCTCAATATAAAATAACTTAATTTTTGCTAAGGGGAACTTGGGGACTAGACAGTACAATACATACATAATAGCACTGTTCACAATTCACCCATTACAGATACAATACACAAGTCTCGAGTCAATGTTCATTAAAAGCCTTACTGATGCCATCACAAAACTGGTAAGACCTGAGTCTGGCCTGATGGCAGTTGCTTCCTCATTAAGAGGAAGTTATGATATGACAGATATGTTATATTTCCAATTGTGAGGTGTCGACATATGCATGCCGTTGTGTTGTGCCAACCAGGAAGAAGAAGCTTCTGAAGGAGAGGAGGAAGCAGAGGGAGAGGGTGGCGCTGAAAATGGACCTGCCTGGAGTCTCCATCGCTGACGGCAATGACTCCTCCATGTTCTCCCTCGCAACCATAAACAAGGCCAAGGTAACACACCAGGCCTCCAGACTGAGACCATTTAGTCTAATTTTGCGACCATTTGACTTTGCTGTGCGAATGGAATTTGTTATTGGTCGCACCGGTGCGAGCTGCACATTATACCTGGTCACCATAAAAATCGTCCTATTTTTGGGGCAAATAAAACCAGGATTAGGTCAAACAGTAAAGTGCATTATCTTCATGACTACTGTAGTGAAAGTGTCTGCCCTGCCGCTGTGCTTGTTTCTCTGCTGTAATGAGCGAGCCTCTCACACCCTCTCTCCCCCCTCATGCGCACTGAAAAATACAATTGCAGGAAAAAACAACTTTGGAAGGAACTACTGTTGTCCTAGAGGAGGGCCTCCGCTTTCTGTAGGTATAATTTTTTATTTCTCAAACTCTCCATATTGAGCTCAAAACACACCGTTTTACAATCGAGATATCTGATATGGCTTTGAAATACGGAGCATGTGAAATGCGCATCGGCCATTGCGCGTGCACTAGGTCTCATTGGGTAGCAGGCCTACTACTGATTCAAATTATTTATATTTTGGGACATTAAATGTATTGTTTGAATAATACATGGCTACTAGCAGCAGGTGTTATATTTAGAGTTAGGGATCTAGCTAATGTGTTTTGAGTTACCTCTTCATTAGTTGGTGAATTAGCACCAATTGATTTAGGCCTATTTGTAATATTATTGCACATAAAGATGAAGGAAAATGCATCTCTATTGAGCAAAAAAATTATAATATTCCAGAGCCCTATTTTGACAGTAAAATAACAAATTGCCTAATTGTCAACCCAAAATTCATGACAATCAAAATATCTTGAATCATGCATGTTAGATGTAACAACTTATTTATTGAAAACCATCTCAGTAGTCTATTACGCTTCATAATAAATCATTGTGAATGATTTTATGAGTTTTTAAGATGATTACTGCTATTTTGTCTATTTCGTGATGCTGCAAAAAAGAATTGGGGGGTGCGACCAAATCATGGGCTGATGCCACCAACTGAAAAAGTTTCTGGCACCAGTTCCACCAGGGGAAAACGTGAGTCTGGGGCCCTACACACACAAACACCAATTGACCATGGACAGAATGGACATGGTTTTGAATAGATTGTTGAAATGTAGTTTTTATTTTTACTATACAATTATAATGTAGTGTATTTCTCATCTTTCTGGTAATATAAACTCAGCAAAAAAAGAAACGTCCTCTCACTGTCATCTGCGTTTATTTTCAGCAAACTTAACGTGTAAATATTTGTATGAACATAACAAGATTCAACAACTGAGACATAAACTGAACAAGTTCCACAGACATGTGACTAACAGAAATTGAATAATGTGTCCCTGAACAAAGGGGGGGGGGGGGGGGGGGGGGGGGGGGTCGAAATCAAAATTAACAGTCAGTATCTGGTGTGACCACCAGCTGCATTAAGTACTGCAGTGCATCTCCTCCTCATGGACTGCACCGGATTTGCCAGTTCTTGCATCTCCCACTCTTCCACCAAGGCACCTGCAAGTTCCCGGACATTTCTGGGGGGAATGGCCCTAGCCCTCACCCTCCGATCCAACAGGTCCCAGACGTGCTCAATGGGATTGAGATCCGGGCTCTTCTCTGGCCATGGCAGAACACTGACATTCCTGTCTTGCAGGAAATCACGCACAGAACGAGCAGTATGGCTGGTGGCATTGTCATGCTGGAGGGTCATGTCAGGATGAGCCTGCAGGAAGGGTACCACATGAGGGAGGAGGATGTCTTCCCTGTAACGCACAGCGTGGAGATTGCCTGCAATGACAACAAGCTCAGTCCGATGATGCTGTGACCCTCCACCTTCAAATCGATCCCGCTCCAGAGTACAGGCCTCTGTAACGCTCATTCCTTCGACGATAAACGCGAATCCGACCATCACCCCTGGTGAGACAAAACCGCGACTCGTCAATGAAGAGCAGTCCTGTCTGGTCCAGCGACGGTGGGTTTGTGCCCATAGGCGACGTTGTTGCCGGTGATGTCTGGTGAGGACCTGTCTTACAACAGGCCTACAAGCCCTCAGTCCAGCCTCTCTCAGCCTATTGCGGACAGTCTGAGCACTGATGGAGGGATTGTGCGTTCCTGGTGTAACTCGGGCAGTTGTTGTTGCCATCCTGTACCTGTCCCGCAGGTGTGATGTTTGGATGTACCAATCCTGTGCAGGTGTTGTTACACATGGTCTGCCACTGCGAGGATGATCAGCTGTCTGTCCTGTCTCCCTGTAGCACTGTCTTAGGCGTCTCACAGTATGGACATTGCAATTTATTGCCCTGGCCACATCTGCAGTCCTCATGCCTCCTTGCAGCATGCCTAAGGCAGGTTCACGCAGATGAGCAGGGACCCTGGGCATCTTTCTTTTGGTGTTTTTCAGAGTCACTAGAAAGGCCTCTTTAGTGTCCTAAGTTTTCATAATTGTGACCTTAATTGCCTACCGTCTGTAAGCTGTTAGTGTCTTAACGACCGTTCCACAGGTGCATGTTCATTAATTGTTTATGGTTAATTGAGCAAGCATGGGAAACAGTGTTTAAACCCTTTACAATGAAGATCTGTGAAGTTATTTGGAATTTTACTAATTATCTTTGAAAGACAGGGTCCTGAAAAAGGGACATTTATTTTTTTGCTGAGTTTATGTGCTCACTTACAAAACATTTACAGTGCCTTCGGAAAGTATTCAGACCCCTTGACTTTTTCCACATTTTTTGTTACAGCCTTATTCTAAAGTGTATTAAATTGTTTTTTTCCCCTCATCAATCTACAGACAATACCCCATAATGACAAAGCAAAAACAGGTTTTTAGACAGTTTTGCTAATTCATTAAAATGAAAGTGAAATATCACACAAGAATTCAGACCCTTTACTTAGTACTTTGTCGAAGCACCTTTGGCAGTGATTACAGCCTTGATTCTTCTTGGGCATGATGCTACAAGCTTGGGACACCTGTATTTGGGGAGTTTCTCCCATTATTCTCTGCAGATCCTCTCAAGCTCTGTCAGGTTGGATGGGGAGCATCTCTGCACAGCTATGAATCTTGTTTCTCATGGTCTGAGTCCTTTAAGTGCCTTTTGGCAAACTTCAAGCAGGCTGTCATGTGCCTTTTACTGAGGAGTGGCTTTCATCTGGCCACTACCATAAAGGCCTGATTGGTGGAGTGCTGCAGAGATGGTTGTCCTTCTGGAAGGTTCTCCTATCTCCACAGAGGAACTCTGGAGCTCTGTCAGAATGACCATCTGGTTCTTGGTCACCTCCCTGACCAAGGCCCTTCTCCCCCGATTGCTCAGTTTGGCAGGGCGGCCAGCTCAAGGAAGAGTCTTGGTGGTTCCAAACTTCTTCCAATTAAGAATGATGGAGGCAACTGTGTTCTTGGGGACCTTCAATGCTGCAGAAATGTTTGGTACCCTTCCCTAGATTTGTGCCTCGACACAATCCTGTCTTGGAGCTCTACGGACAATTCCTTCGACCTCATGGCTTGGTTTTTGCTCTGACATGCATTGTCAACTGTGGGACCTTATATAGACAGGTGTGTGCCTTTCCAAATCACGTCCAATCAATTGAATTTACCACAGGTGGACTCCAATCAAGTTGTAGAAACATCTCAAGGATGATCAATGGAAACAGGATGCACCTGAGCTCAACTTCGAGTCTCATAGCAAAGGGTCTGAATATTTATGTAAATGTGATATTTTATTTATTTATTTGTACATTTGCAAAAATGTCTAACAACCGGTTTTTGCTTTGGCATTATGGGGTATTGTGTGTAGATTGCTGAGGATTTTATTTTTTAAATCAATTTTAGAATAAGGCTGTAAACGTAACAATGTGGAAAAAGTCAAGGGGTCTGAATACTTTCCGTGACGGAAACAGGACGTTTCTGTACAATTGTGTAAATGCTGAGAAATAATTTGTTCGCTTGACATGTTGGGATCTTTTTGTGTCGGTAAAATTAATAATGCGAGAAATTGCGGTGGAAACTCATGCAGACAGGCCTACCTGCGCAGCCTACCCGCACTGTATCTGCGAGCTGTTGGCTAGAGCCATGACCGAAGTAGGCACATTTGCCATTTAACGCAACAGTTTGTGACAAACCTACAGTGGGGAGAACAAGTATTTGATACACTGATGATTTTGCAGGTTTTCCTACTTACAAAGCATGTAGAGGTCTGTAATTTTTATCATAGGTACACTTCAACTGTGAGAGACGGAATCTAAAACAAAAATCCTGAAAATCACATTGTTTGATTTTTAAGTAATTAATTTGCATTTTATTGCATGACATAAGTATTTGATCACCTACCAACCAGTAAGAATTCCGGCTCTCACAGACCTGTTAGTTTTTCTTTAAGAAGCCCTCCTGTTCTCAACTCATTACCTGTATTAACTGCACCTGTTTGTACTCGTTACCTGTATAAAAGACACCTGTCCACACACTCAATCAAACAGACTCCATCCTCTCCACAATGGACAAGACCAGAGAGCTGTGTAAGGACATCAGGGATAAAATTGTAGACTTGCACAAGGTTGGGATGGGCTACAGGACAATAGGCAAGCAGCTTGGTGAGAAGGCAACAACTGTTGGCGCAATTATTAGAAAATGGAAGAAGTTCAAGATGACGGTCAATGAACCTCGGTCTGGGGCTCCATGCAAGATCTCACCTCGTGGGGCATCAATGATCATGAGGAAGGTGAGGGATCAGCCCAGAACTACACGGCAGGACCTGGTCAATGACCTGAAGAGAGCTGGGACCACAGTCTCAAAGAAAACCATTAGTAACACACTACGCCGTCATGGATTAAAATCCTGCAGCGCACGCAAGGTCCCCCTGCTCAAGCCAGCGCATGTCCAGGCCCGTCTGAAGTTTGCCAATGACCATCTGGATGATCCAGAGGAGGAATAGGAGAAGGTCATGTGGTCTGATGAGACAAAAATATAGCTTTTTGGTCTAAACTCCACTTGCCGTGTTTAGAGGAAGAAGAAGGATGAGTACAACCCCAAGAACACCATCCCAACCGTGAAGCATGGAGGTGGAAACATCATTCTTTGGGGATGCTTTTCTGCAAAGGGGACAGGACGACTGCACCGTATTGAGTGGAGGATGGATGGGGCCATGTATCGCGAGATCTTGGCCAACAACCTCCTTCCCTCAGTAAGAGCATTGAAGATGGGTCGTGGCTGGGTCTTCCAGCATGACAACGACCCGAAACACACAGCCAGGGCAACTAAGGAGTGGCTCCGTAAGAAGCATCTCAAGGTCCTGGAGTGGCCTAGCCAGTCTCCAGACCTGAACCCAATAGAACATCTTTGGAGGGAGCTGAAAGTCCGTATTGCCCAGCGACAGCCTTGAAACCTGAAGGATCTGGAGAAGGTCTGTATGGAGGAGTGGGCCAAAATCCCTGCTGCAGTGTGTGCAAACCTGGTCAAGACCTACAGGAAACATATGATCTCTGTAATTGCAAACAAAGGTTTCTGTACCAAATATTAAGTTCTGCTTTTCTGATGTATCAAATACTTATGTCATGCAATAAAATGCAAATTAATTACTTAAAAATCATACAATGTGATTTTCTGGACTTTGCAGGATTCTGATAGCAAACAGCTAGTTTAGATGAAAAAATTACACTATATATACAAAAGTATGTGGCCACCCCTTCAAATTAGTGGATTTGGCTATTTCAGCCATACCCGTTGCTGACAGGTGTATAACATTGGCAGTAGAATGGCCTTACTGACGAGCTCAGTGACTTTAAACGTGGCACCATCATAGGATGCCACCTTTCCGACAAGTCAGTTTGTCAAATTTCTGCCCTGCTATAGCTGCCCCAGTCAACTGTAAGTGGAAACATCTAGGAGCATCAACGGCTCAGCCGGGAAGTGGTAGGCCACACAAGCTCACAGAACGGGACCGCCGAGTGCTGTAGCGCGTAAAAATCGTCTGTCCTCGGTTGCAACACTCACTACAGAGTTCCAAACTGCCTCTGGAAGCAACGACAGCACAATAACTGTTGGGAGCTTCATGAAGTGGGTTTCCAGCGTCGGCTGGATTGGTGTAAAGCTCGCCGCCATTGGACACTGGAGCAGTGGAAACGTGTTCATCTGGAGTGATGAATCACGCTTCACCATCTGGCAGTCCGACTGATGAATCTGGGTTTGGCGGATGCCAGGACAACGCTACCTGCCCGAATGCATAGTGCCAACTGTAAAGTTTGGTAGAGGAGGAATAATGGTCTGGGGCTGTGTTTCATGGTTCGGGCTAGACCCCTTAGTTCCAGTGAAGGGAAATCTTAACGATACAGCACACAATGACATTCTAGACGATTCTCTGCTTCCAACTTTCAGCATGACAATGCCCCCGTGCACAAAGCAAGGTCCATACAGAAATGTTTTGTCGATCAGTGTGGAAGAACTTGACTGGCCTGCACAGAGCCCTGACCTCAACTGTTCCAACATCTAGTGGAAAGCCTTCCCAGAAAAGTGGAAGCTGTTATAGGAGCAAAGGGGGGACCCACTCCATATTAACTCCCATGATTTTGGAATGAGATGTTGGACGAGCAGGTGTCCACATACTTTTGGTTATGTAGTGTATCTTCGATTTGATTTTAGATTGATATTAGATGGGACTGTCTTATTTGACAGTTTCAAACGGCAAGATTTAATCTGTTCTGAAGCTTTAACTGGTGTGCGTGTGTTACCCCAGGCAAGCGTGTTCGCATCATGAATGCAGAGGGTTTGGCCCTGGGCTGTCAGATCACCACGTCCAAGAAGCGAGAGAGGGACCTGGTAGACGGCTCCTTCCACAGGCAAGATTAGCTGATTACTGTGCGTGTGTGTTCACTAATGACTCGTGCAGGCACACCATATGAATGAACAATACTTATTTTATTTAACCATGCCTTGTATTATTTCAGCTTTCAAGTGTGACGATGTGTGTGTGTTCAGGTTTGTGAGCTCGGAGGACCAGTGCGAGGTGCCCGAGTGGTTCGTGGATGATGAGAAAAAACACAGGAATAAGCCCATCCCCGTCACCAAGAAGATGGTGGAGGAGTACAAGGCAAAATGGAAGGAGATCAACGCCAGGCCCATTAAACGAGTGGCCGAGGCTAAGGCCAGGAAGAAGAGGAGGGTAAGCGAGAGAGCGATGGGGATGGAGGAGAGGGGAAAATGATGGGATGTATGGTGAAAGGAGAGAGGAAAGGTGAGAAAGAAGGGGAAGTGAATGAAAGGAAGGGAGAGGGGTAAAGAGAAAAAGGGGGAGAAGAATGTATTAAGGGAAGAGAAGGGGGATGTAGGGAGCCTAGCGGTTAAGAGCATTGGGCCATTAACCTAAAGGCCGCTGGTTCGAATCCCCGAGCAGACTAGGTGAAAAACCTGTCTGTGCCCTTGAGAAAGGTAAGTCGCTCTGGATAAGAGCATCTGCTAAATTACTTAACATTTAAATGTAAAAGGTGGGAGCAGAGGGAGAAGGGGTGAAAAGAGTAATGTGGGAAGAAAAAGGTAAAGGAGAGAAGGAAAGTGGAAGACGGGGTTGATAGCTGTATATATACTTCAGTTGTTTATTCAAGACAAAGATAGAGGATAGGCAGCAATATATGACCTGTTTGTGTGATGTGACAGATGCTGAAGAAGATGGAATCAGCCAAGAAGAAGGCGGAGGCGGTGGTCAACACAGTGGACATCGGTGAAAGGGAGAAGATGGCTCAGCTCAAGAGGTACGACCGCCATTTTACACCATAAAAACCACTGCAACTACATGTACCATAAACATTTTACACTCCTACACCTGTGGCAACGTCATGTGGTCCTCTGTAGCTCAGCTGGTAGAGCACGGCGCTTGTAACGCCAAGGTAGTGGGTTCGAACCCCGGGACCACCCATACACAAAAAAATGTATGCACGCATGACTGTAAGTCGCTTTGGATAAAAGCGTCTGCTAAATGGCATATTATATTATTATATTATATTATGTACCATCACCAAGTTTTACTTTACTACACCCGTGGCAGCCAGCTACATCTACTCTGGCAGTGACATGTACCACCACCATTTTACTTCAGCAAGTGAAGTCCATCCTCGCTCTCTCTTTCAGTATCTATAAGAAGGCGGGCGTGGGTAAAGATAAGAGAGAGGTCATGTACATCATGGCCAAGAAGGGCTCCGAAACCAAGCGGGTGCGTCGGCCGGCCGGCGTCAAGGGCCAGTTCAAAGTGGTGGAAGGCCGCGTGAAGATGTACGTGCTCCCACCATTTTGTTGCTCAGTTGTTGTGAGTTTGTATCTGAGCGTTATCATATAGACAAGCTAAGATGGCCGCCACACTGCTTGTTCTGCTACAGTGGAATTGTGGGTAACAGACAGAACTTCCCTGGTCTACTTTGAGGCCCTCTACCGAACCAGTGACCACCGTACAGAAAAGCATGATAAAACGATACATGCTTAAGCCTGAGGGATCCTCCAATTTTTTGGATAAATTAAAGAAGTGCTATGGGGAGGATGACCTACTTGCCTTACTTCCAGTGTTGACTGGAGCTGATTCAGTGAACCACCCTGTAATAAATGGGTTTGATCAAGATTTCACATCAGTAGTCATGTCAAATGTGTCTTTAGAGCAGGGGTGGGCAGACTACGGCCTGTGAGCCGGATCTGGCCCGCAAGAGGTTTGAGTTGACAAAAACAATTATTTGGGGGGATTATTATTTTGGGTTTTGAAAAAAAAAAAACACTCCAGGCCACACCTGAACTTCTAAAACTAGATAGAAAGTATGTAGAAATGATAATGGACCTATATATTTTCTAATAACAGCCCATTTTCTGGGCCTAAAATAGATTTTGACGAACAAATCGGTCCCCCAAAAAATCTGTGTGGCCCTCCATTCATTTAAAAAAAATCCCAATGTGGCCCTCGGGCCCAAATTCTTGCTCACCCCTACTTTATAGAGTGTATCAAGAGTAATAAAATACATACATGTGCATTCCACAAATGTTCTGACAAATCTTGTAAATAATTGTAAATAACATTTTTCATGAAACAAGTCAATGGATGTGTACCGTCAGCACATCTCCAGTACCACCCTGCTTCTCTTTACTAACAGTTTCATTTTCATCACCCAATGTGGTGGTGACCCCTACCTCAGAAAAATATGAAATGTAACATTGTTTTCCATATTTTTATGCCTGCTACAAACTTTGACTGATGTCAATTCCATCGCCTGTCAGCCCTTGCATCTCTGAAATAACTTCTAAACTAAAATGTAAAAATATAAAATATGGCCATATATGGCTATGGTCCTTAGGGGTTAGCTGACAACGTCACGAAATCGATGCGAGCGTGTCAATGGGGCAGAAGTCTGTGTTATGATTCTGGACGGTCAGATAGCAAGCAAAAATGTCAAGAAGCTGCTATGTGGGGAATTTTAGGTGGCTTATTTCAGGTTATATCTTGTTATTGATACCATGTCTTGTTTTGACTTGTCACCTCTATGCTAATATGGCAAAGATTTGCTAGCTAGCTAACCAACAACTGTTACGATGCATTTGAGACAAGTGCTGATGCATTTGAGACAAGTGCTCATTGTGAAATGTATTTATGTTTCAATAAAGATTCGGAGAAAAATGTTGGTAGTTTACATGTCAACAATCCTTTGATTCTAAACCAATCCCGTTTGTTTCGCTCAACGGTTGCGCACGCATCATGGGGGACGTCCAAAGGATCCAAGATAGCACCATCGGAGTTTTCACTTTTAGATCAATGGTAGGACATAAATCAAGGGACCAGGGTCTTGGTGTGGTGATACTGATTATTTGTTGCCACAGATGGTTTGTTTACATAGCAGGTTAGGAGAACTAATGCGGCAGGTTAGGTGAATTAATGTAGCCGGTTAGGAGAATAAGGTTAGGAAAAGGATTAGGGCACATGTCAAACTCATTCCACGGAGGGCAGAGTGACTGCGGGTTTTCGCTCCTCCCTTGTACTTGGTTGATGAATTAAGAGTGCTAATTAGTAAAGAACGCCCCTCACCTGGTTGTCAAGGTCTTCATTGAAAGGAAAAAACTAAAACCCCCAGACACTCTCAATGGAATGAGTTTGACAACCCTGGATTAGGGTTAGGTTTAGCTACAGTTGTGAACATCTAGCCACAACTGTAGAAACGTAAACAAACCATCTGGTGGACAGATCATCAGTATCATAACACCGGTCTAGAAGCACGGTTTCGACTGCTCCTACATTCTTGCTTCGGTACTGCAGTTTAACTGACGCCCGGCCAAGAAAGACAATTTCCATAGATGGCCACATAGTCAGCTTTGAAAATTCCTAATAAGACACTTTAGTCATTACCTTTGTGCACAAAACATCCATTGAATTATTAAATTAATTGACGCTGAGTCCATTTATTGTTTCCATCACTCACAGCCGAAGATACTTGACTCATTTGAGTGGTAAGGCGAAACAACCGACTGTAGACGAAAGTCCAGGAGTGAAGTCGGGGGAGGTGCATCTGGGACAGCCGAAAGTCCGACAGCAAGACTCAGTGCAACATGGCAGTGTTGCCATTGTTTATAAAAGTTGTTCTTTATAATGTAACTATGGAGTGATTTCAGTGCCAACAGAAATTATTTGAATTCCGTAATTTTGAATTAGTATTACGATATTGAATTTGAATAAAACATTTTTTAATTTGTAATGCACAAATTGAATCATAGAATTAATAAATTGAACTTGTATTGAATGAATATTGCATTCAATTATATTTCAACTTAATATTCAAATAAAATATTTACAGTACCAGTCAAAAGTTTGGACAGCTACTGATTCCAGGGTTTTTCTTTATTTTTTAATATTTTCTACATTGTAGAATAATAGTGAAGACATCGAAACAATGAAATAACACATATGGAATCATGTAGTAACCAAAAAAGAGTTAAAGAAATCAAAATATATTTTAATTTGAGATTGTTCAAAGTAGGCACCCTTTGCCTTGACAGCTTGGCACACTCTTGGCATTCTCTCAACCAGCTTCATTAGGTAGACACCTGGAATGCATTTCAATTAACAGGTGTGCCTTCTTAAAAGTTAATTTGTGGAATTTCTTTCCTTCTTAATGCGTTTGAGCCAATCAGTTGTGTTGTGACAAGGTAGGGGTGGTATACAGAAGATAGCCCTATTTGGTAAAAGACCAAGTCCATATTATAGCAAGAACAGCTCAAATAAGCAAAGCGAAACGACACTCCATCATTACTTTAAGAGATGAAGGTCAGTCAATCTGGAAAATGTTAAGAACTTTGAAAGTTTCTTCAAGTGCAGTCGCAAAAACCATCAAGCGTTATGATGAAACAGTCTCATGAGGACCGCCACAGGAAAGGAAGACCCAGAGTTACCTCTGCTGCAGAGGATAAGTTCATTAGTTGCCAGCCTCAGAAATTGCAGCCCAAATAAATGCGTCACAGACTTCAAGTAACAACATCAATTGTTCAGAGGAGACTGCGTGAATCAGGCCTTTATGGTCGAATTGCTGCAAAGAAAACACTACTAAAGGACACCAATAAGAAGAAGAGACTTGCTTGGGCCAAGAAACACGAGCAATGGACATTAGACAGGCGGAAATCTGCCATTTGGTCTGATGAGTCCAAATTTGAGATTTTTGGTTCTAACCGCCGTGTCTTTGTGAGACGCAGAGTAGGTGAACGTAATTTAGCAGACGCTCTTATCCAGAGCGACTTACAGTTAGTGAGTGCATACATTATTTTATATTTCATACTGGCCCCCCATGGGAATCGAACCCAGGCTCTACTTACTGGCTGAGAAGCAACCCCACACATGAATGCTCTCAGGATGCTTTACTGTTGGCATGACACAGGACTGATGGTAGCGCTCACCTTGTCTTCTCCGGACAAGGTGTTTTCCGGATGCCCCAAACAATCGGAAAGGGGATTCATCAGAGAAAATGACTTTACCCCAGTCCTCAGCAGTCCAATCCCTGTACCTTTTGCAGAATATCAGTCTGTCCCTGATGTTTTTCCTGGAGAGAAGTGGCTTCTTTGCTGCCCTTCTTGACAACAGGCCATCCTCCAAAAGTCTTCGCCTCACTCACCTGCCTGCTGTCATTCCTGAGCAAGCTCTGCACTGATGGTGCCCCGATCCCGCAGCTGAATCAACTTTAGGAGACGGTCCTGGCGCTTGCTGGACTTTCTTGGGCACTCTGCCTTCTTCAGAACAATTTAACCTCTCTGCTTGAAGTTCTTGATGATCCGATAAATGGTTGATTTAGGTGCAATCTTACTAGCAGCAATATCCTTGCCTGTGAAGCCCTTTTTGTGCAAAGCAATGATGACGGCACGTGTTTGCTTGTAGGTAACCATGGTTATCAGAGGAAGAACAATGATTTCAAGCACCACCCTCCTTTTAAAGCTTCCAGTCTGTTATTCTAACTCAATCAGCATGACAGAGTGATCTCCAGCCTTGTCCTCGTCAACACTCTCACCTGTGTTAACGAGAGAATCACTGACATGATGTCAGCTGGTCCTTTTGTGGCAGGGCTGAAATGCAGTGGAAATGTTTTTTGGGGATTAAGTTCATTTTCATGGCAAAGAGGGACTTTGCAATTAATTGCAATCCATCTGATCACTCTTCATGACATTCTGGAGTATATGCAAATTGCCATCATCAAAACTGAGGCAGCATACTTTGTGAAAATTAGTATTTGTGTCATTCTCAAAACGTTTGACCACGACTGTACAGTGGCCTACCCAGGACTCAACTTCTCCAAGTATTGCTCTGTCTCTCAATGCCAAAAACACTTTTGATGATGTTGAATGGGGATATTTGATGCAGGTAAACATATTTGGTTTTTGTAATCATTTTATTTAATGGATTAAGACTTTATATGATTCCCCTTCTGCCTCTGTGTTAACTAACAGCCTCCTCTCAGAGCCCTTGTGCTTCAACGTGGGACCAGACAAGGTTGCGCATTGAGTCAACTATTGTTCATTCTGGCACTGGAATCGCTTGCTCAAAGGATCAGAAAGGATGCTAATGTTCACGGTATTATAGTGGGTGACAAGGAACACAAATGTATGTTATATGTGTATGACATGATCCTATTTATTTCTGATGAAGAGATATCTATTCCTGCTGTGCTTGAAATCCACCAGAAAGAGTTTTCTGGGTACTCAGGGTATAGAATAAACTGGGATAAGTCAGAAGCCCTCCCACTATCTAGCTTGTGCCCATCT